GTCACTGCAATCTTGGCTTATACAATCTTTAAAAATGATCAACTTTGGTTTGTTATATTATATCAAAAGTTAAGTGAACTTGAATCTTTTACCATTTTCAATTTTGATGTCACACGACGTTTGTTTAACTCTGCTTTTCTCGTCTCTTTCTTTCACCTTATTTGAAAATCTCTTTTCTTCAGTTTCTTCATGGAAAGTTTTTGGATCAGTATTATCTTCATTTTTCTCTGAAATTGATGCATGTCTTTTATCAAATTAATGAATTTATGACACCTTTTTATTTTCAGTTCTTTTTTAGATACACAAAAAACGGCTTTTTCATTAAATTGATTTGGTTCCAATATTTTAAGATGTTAAATCTATTCATTTAATATTGAAATGATAGACACAAAGGTAGTTCAAACGAGATTTGTGAATTTTCAAAGCATTTTACCCAATATTTCTAAATATTGACGTGAGTAACGGTGACAGACATTATTTTTTAAAGGAAAATAAGCATAGAAATGAATCATTTGACGTGCTTTTCTGCAAAAAATTTTAAAATGCAACAAATTCATGACGTCATATTTCCAAAATTGTCTTTCTTCATGCCCTATTTTATAATGATCTATGATTTTCATCCACTCAACTCATATTAAAACAAATTTCATTTTTTAAGAATAATAATTGTTGGTGACACAATTAAGCCAAAACCGTAACTTCTTCCATTTATTCAATAGATATAAAATCTGGAATTAAATTATTAAAACCACTCATTTTTAAAAATTTTGCTCTTTACCAGAAATTAGAACATACCGTTTCATGGTCGAATTTAACTTTTAATATACTTATAATATGGGTTATTTTTTCTTCCGAAAATGCCCCTGTGGCAACGCACTTTGACAAAATTCCGCACTTTGAAAAAAATTTCAAAGTGCGTTATTTGGGACAAAATCAACGCACTTTGAAAAATTTTTTCAAAGTGCGTTAAATTTGGGACCAACTCAACGCACTTTGAAAAATTTTTTAATGTGCGTTAAGAGTCTACATCAATATATTTTACCATGGAGACACTTAACGCACTTAAAAAAAAATAATATTTTAGTCATGGAAAAATTTTATTTGTTATTTATCTTTCAAAACTAAGCCTAACCCTAACCTCATAAATGAATTGATTTTACTCCCGTCGAAAAGAGGAGAAGACGGGTATAAGATCCCTCAGTCCAAATCTTTACCTTTCCAATACGTGTCGGTAAAAAACGGGGGAAGGGAGCAATAAACCTAAAAAGGGTACGCTGCATTTTCGATGCTTATACGATGTATATATCTTTCCAAAATAAATGGGGGGCTTAGCCCCCATCCCCTCCCCTGGCCCTTTGCCCAGTCTCGATGCCTATGCTATACTCAAAGCATTCATATAATTATGTATTTACCTAACTGGTATGATGTTGAAAACTTTCAATAATAAATGAGTAAATTAAAACAGATGAAAACTAGAAATTTTTAAGTACAGTAAAAAGTATGAGAGAGAAAGAATTTTCATAGATTTAAAAAATCAAATTGGCCCCTTTTTATTATGATAAATGCAAAGTTGCTTGAAGCTGTCCTCTGTTAGTGCCCCCTATACACCTTTACATCTTCTTATCAAAGACTAGAATTAAAAAAAAAAAAAGAAACGAATCAATGAACTTAAACAATCATCACTCTTTTTTTCAAGACCCTTTAATTTTCCCTTTTATTTTATCAAAACCTTAAATATCTAAAACGTCAATATCTCAGGTCCTACAGTGACTTTATCATAAAAAAAGTAATCAAACCAGGATCTGTTATTCATCATACCGATTATTTGAAGGAATATTGATCAATCTTTACATTTTTTTTTCAAAGTGCGTTAATATGGTCGATTTTAATGCACTTTGAAAAAAAATTATTTTTTTTCAAAGTGCGTTAGCTTGGTCCCAAATTTTAACGCACCTTGAAAAAAATTTTCAAAGTGCGTAATTTTTCAAAGTGCGTTGTAACCTGCCCCTCTGTAATGAAAACGTACACCAACTAGATACACCAATATAGATTATTATTATTACAGGGGTTATTAAAATCTTTATATCGTCTTTACCTGAATCTGAGTCCAATGTTTCTATTGCAGAATCGCTCCCCTTGATGGCCGCATTGTCATTGTCACTTGCTTTGCTTTCATTATCTGATTGGTTGCTGTCCCTCGTAGGTGGGATAGATACTTAAAAAATGAAGTGATTTAATTTGTTTTTGTTTTTTTTTTTCAGTGGACAAACTAACATCAGAAATTGTTCATAATTTTCTTATCTTCAAGTTCATTTTATTTACCCAGACCAATCTATTGGTACAAGGGGGATTGTGCATAAATAACATATATACATTATATACAATATAAATAGTCTGGTCAGAGGTACACAATATAGGAAACATGACAGAAGATTAAGGGTAGAAAGAAAGAGTGGGGAAACATATCAAGGAGGACAGACAGCAGCATAATTTTTTTGGATAAATATACAAAGTTTTTTCATCACTTTTTCGTTTGAGGTTGACATGATTTCCATGAATTTAATAACATTCGGTCTATAAGAATAATAATTGCCCAGATAATTCTTTTTATCTTAAGTGATCCAACAAATTGTTGAAAGATTTCATATCCAACTACATAGATAACAGAAACTGAAGAATCTTCGTGTGTACAATTAAAAGCCTCCTATGAAAATAAGTTTACAAATGACCAGTGACAGGGTAAGTAAATTTACGATAACGAGTTTTGATTTATTTTGAATAAAAAGCCAACTGTTTATGATTTCAATAAGTCTTGACATTATTTTCTGTCGGGAATGACTGATAAAGTGTTGGAATGTCGTACAATTTGATGTTACTAATTTTAGTATAATTTTCTGATTTCAAATTTTCTATAAGTTCCTTGGAGTTTTTTTACGTATTCACATCTGATTTACACCACTTCTCGAATCGTTTTACATTACGTCTGAAGTTTCTTCTTTACTGTTGTAAATATTTTAGTGAGAATTAAATACTAGTAGAAAGGCTCTGTAGAACATTTCTGGAGCCCGTTACGTATCTTTTTGTAAGGATTTTTATAAGAATTTAGAATGTAATTAATTCAATTTTATTTTGATTGTTAGGAATACAAAATAAAATATTTTAACCATATGAATGGACGATTTTGAAGACTTTCCTCCTAAGAAAGTGAGTTATGGGGTATAAGTTTGACACACAGTATATTATTCAAAAGTAAAATAAAATGAAGGAGAAGCAAAACCACTTACATAATCGTTTCATTTGTGTTTCATCATCAACCATGTGTGTTTCATTCATCCCAATTTTTTCTACAATAAAATATGTCCATGGCAATTCAAGCATTTTTCAAGAGATCTGGTAAATTTAATTATCACACTTTTTAAAAAATACATACTCAAACACTTGATTAGTCTCCTTCTTTTGATGATAGTTAATATAATAATGCCTGCAATAAAAGCTCCTACGAAACCCACGACAGGTAACATCCAGTACATTTCACTGTAAAGTAAAAATCTTAAATAAGTGATAAAATCTATTAGTAATACACTAAAAGTAGTAATAAATGCACGTGTTTTCTTAAGTTCAATGAAATTTCTGTAAAAAAACTACGAACATGTACTACATAATTCTATTACATGTGTTATACATGTGTTATACTATGTATGAAACACGAAGCGAAGATGGTCTAGGACTGTACGAGTAGACTGTTAGTTTTCTCGATATATTTTATTTCAGAGATATGAATACTTTTAATATTTAGACATTCTAATTAAGGGAATTTTAAATTACTTCTAATTTCTATTTGAAAATTATTATATTTAGATATTTGTGACCTTATTCATTCATTAAAATAATGCTAACTGAGTCAGTGTATATTCCACACAGTCATTGACAATTTGAAGTGATATATTATTTATAATATCGAGTTTGTGAAGATAATATTTTGGATTAGGTTTGTAAAGTTCTTGAAACGAAAGGATGACATTACAAAAATAGTGTAAACAAATATTCATAAATTTGTTAATACTGCAGATATCAAATGCTTAAAGTTCATTGGGATTAATCTGTTCCCAAAACTTTAACCTGGTCTCTTGTACGGAAAATATAGGTCAGATTCAGCATCCAAAGCAGGTCTGATAGCGTCCATCCCTAGATGCATCATCCATGCAAGTTTGATTCAGGTAGGTCTTATAGTTACTTGGGAACGAAAATGTAGGTCAGATCCAGCATCCGAAGCAAGTCTTGTAGTGTCCATCCCTAGATGCATCACCCATGCAAGTTTGGTTCGGGTAGGTATTTTAGTTACTTTGGAATGAAAATGTAGGTCAGGTCCAGCATCCGAAGCAAGTCTGGTAGTGTCCATCCCCAGATGCATCATCCATGCAAGTTTGATCCCGGTAGGGCTTATAGTTACTTGGGAATGGACTTGCTCCAAAAACTTTAACCTGGTCACTCGTCTTGGGAATGGACCTGCTCCAAAAACTTTAACCTGGTCACTCATCTGGAAAATATAGGTTAAAACCAACATCTGAAGCAAGTCTGGTAGTGTCCATCCCCAGATGCATCCTTAGACGAAATTGTTGATATTTTTTTAATAAACTTGTTTGTCAGTAGCTTACAATTAATTTTTTTTGTACGTAGAGCATGTATTTGAAGTTTTGCGTATCGAATCAACTGAGATCTATAAACTCTATATGCAGATGATACGGCTTTATTACTACATACGCTTAAGGGAAGTTGAAGATTGAAAAGTTGAAGTCATTATGTTTATCATACGAAAACTTTGTTCTAAGGTCTTCGGTACCATTTACGTATTTTTCATGTAAAAAATGAAATAGAAGTGTTAAAATCTTAAAGCCATATATGGCGTAACTGATCAAAAAAATATATTTTTGAAAAATACAAAATTAAGTAAAGAAATATAGTTAATACATTTAAATTAAAGCTTTTCATACAATTCTGAACACGAAGAACACCTCGTTTCATCTAATAATACGATCTTATCTTCTCTGTAATGTGTTATTTAAATCTTTTGTATTTTCTTCCGAGTCGGAGAAAATTCCTAGAATCCAAATTAAATTGCGATATGTTCATAACGCAATTGACTTAGATTTTGTAATTTACGGAAAAGTTCTATATTTATATAAAGTAATGATACAAATAATAAGTTCTTATAATTTTAGTCTAATAATTTTCATTGTACATACGCCATATATGGCTTTAAATCTTTTATTTCAAGCTCACTGTATTTTGTCAACAGATGAATGGAAGTAACTATTCTTAATTGATAAATATGACTACAAACAACTTTGCTGTTCATAATTTTTTTTCTTTGTAAAACTTTGATTCTCCATTATTGCACCGTCCTTTTTCTTGAAGAAATACTAGTAATCTGAACAACTTGAATCGACACTGCGTATTGAAGGTTTAATATAAATGGGGAGGAAGTTGAAAATGTGAAAAGTTTACAGATTTAAGAAAAGGCAGACAAAATCTGATCAGAAAAAGGCGCATTTAATTTCCAAATACCGGTTATTAGCACGAGATGGAACCGAATTATTTATCGAGTATCAAGTACGTAGCGTAAGCATTACCAGTATTGCCCTTTGAATTTATAGAGGCCAGGGGTCCGTTTTACAAAAGAACTTACAACTAAGACCAAAATTTATTCTGCTTGTAACTTTCATATTTGCATTAATTTGAAAATGGGTTTAAACTTTTTAAAAGGAATGTAGAAAGATATTTTCATGATAGTAATATTAAACTCAATCATTATCTCTGCAAAATTTTACAATCAACTAAATTTTTTGGTCTTAGTCGTAAGTTCTTTTGTAAAACGGGCCTCTGGGTATTATTTTTATCATTATTCGTGTATTACATACAAATAAAAGTCAGGAGTTGTCAATATTAAAGAATATAAAGCTTGAATGTAATTTCTTGACAGAGAACCCCTTAATTCTTTCAATGTTTATAGTTTCTATTTTTTTTTTTATTCCTAAAGATAAAATTCACACAACTTACCTTCCGCTATCATATTCCGTGACTGGATTCATTCTCAATTACAAAATGTTAATAGTCAAGTTAATGAATATACTTATTTTTTAAATTTGAATTTCGTTCATGAAGATAAATTTGAACACGTTCTCATATTTTTAATGTTTCATATGTAGTATTGGGAAAAATTCATTGGATCTTTTTTCCAAATTAAACTATGTGAATAACCTTTACATCGGATACATTCGGACAATGATGTTTTGCAAGAATAATTTTATGAACTAGGAACTAAGCATTCTTTTTACTTGTATTTGATTGCTCTCTAGAATAAACTTACCCAACATCCGGAAGCCTTCCTTTTTCTGAACTTGGATCATTGTTTGATGAGCTATGAATGTATGATATATTATATATTTTTTTTTTATTTAGACAGCAGTTCCAATGACATGAATCGGGAAAAATTATATAATTCATAATATAATAAATTATATCAATTATTTTTTTTTTCATATATCTATATCTATATTTTCATATATTTACTTTGGTTTGAATGAAGATTCCAGTCGGGTAGTCCTTGTTAAAAGTACCGTGGTAGCTGGGGTGCTTTGGTAAAAAAAAAAAAGTATACAGTACATGACAATAGATATTCACTGAACAAAACTCTGAACAAGAATTTTTATATTGTATCTGATCATATATACTTACGAAGTTGATTTATTTATGCACTTTAAATCTGCTTCATAGCATCCTAATTTTATTTTCAAACACATTGGATCTGGAAAAAAAAATCAAAAACTATTTTAAATATTTTTTTTATCATTTTTGCATAAAATTTAGGATTCATAATCTGACATGCAAGTTTGTTTGGGAAAAACACAGCTACCAAGGGAGAACGTTCCAATCTAACTCTAATCAGTGTGTTCCCTTCTTCAAGTAAATTAAAATTTTCAAAATAATCTTTTCTTTGCCTTAAGTATATGTCAAACAAAAAAAAAAACATATTTACATACATTTATACACCTCTTTGGAGAAAAACATCTGTTTTGGACACCCAGTGGTAAAATTATTACAATTGTAGTAGCTGGGTGCTTTATTTTGGGAATGTTTGTAGTTGTACACCGGACAGTTTCCTGGAGAAATGTAGGGAAAAGAAAGAATTTTTTTAAAACTTCGAATATTTGCTTGAAGTTTCCATGTTTAAATTAAAGTAGCTGGCAAGCATGCAGCACAGCGTTAAAATTAGTTTGTCCAATGACAACTAAAAGCTTTTTTTTTTTAATTAACAAGTTTATTGTCAAGATTTTAATTAATTTTTTGTACTTTCCCTTAGAAATATACGTACATATTAATTTGAAAATTTTATTAAATTACATGTATCAACAGATTGTTATTCCCATTGATATTTCACACGAGTTTTTTTTTTTATAAATTGTATTATTTATTGACAATACCTGGAGCTATTGGTACACTTCTTCCACAAAATTCTACACTTTCATTCATATAGGTGCTTGGTAAACAGTGATATACCCTCTCCTGTTCCTTCGGGTCTTTAGATGTCAAATCATAGAAGCAGTTTATTCTTTTAGAGGCTTCTTTCCATTGTGTGATATTGTCTGGATCAGGGCAAGAATTTACCCTCCAAACCCACTGCGGCAGAGGAACAGAATCGCAGTTTCTTATGAGAATCAGAATTACCTAATGAAAATAAATCTATTCTTAAATGTCGCAAGCATTTTGAATTTAAACAGTCTATTTTTTTTAATGTGCTTTCTACTACACGTGGTTTAAAATGTGAAATGAAATGTTATGAGTCCTGTCGTGCATATATCGCTACAAACTGTTCAGGCGATAAATACAGATATATAGAATCATGATTATTTTTAAGTGCATGGAATATATTTTAAATTACATAAGATGTTTAATATTTGTTTATTAAAACATGTACATACGTATATCTCAAATGAACCTTCTTATCGTGTTGAATTTTTACATGACACTTTTTCTCACATGCAAGATTTCTACGTGATTTCTTTCTATATTGTATTCATAAGACTCAAAAATATATACATAGAGAGAGAGAAGAAAAAAACAAAGACTCAAGTTTGAAGTGCAGTTTTGCTCTTTTTTATTAAACACATACGTGTGTTTCCACCGAATTATCTGGTTTATTATGTAATTAAGTTTTCATGTATATACATGACATATTTCTAATACGTTCTTAATGGACAGTTAACTATAGCCGTAAGTTTTAATACTTCACTCTGACTAGGAATAAAATCACAAATACAGAGTGAATCAACAATTTGTATCCTTTATAAGAATTATAGTTTCTGTGCATCCATGGCTGGACCATCACTGAACGGACACTGTACATGTGAAATATATCTTGACCAAACTTTCACTCATTTTATGAAAAGAAATACCTTACCTTAGAAATACCTTATACATAGACATTTTAGCAACATCAGACACATCAAATGCATGTGAAATTATACATATGATAGAATTGCGATAATATAGTACCGTGTACTTATATGAAAACCTATAGTGTAAGTATTCAATTCAAAATCGACGTATACATGTACAAGTAGTATCTGAACATTCTGAAACATTTGATACTGTAGTTGTACAAACATAACTTTCATATCAATTTATTAAACTAGAAAAAATGTTTCACTTGACTTCAATTCTATAAAACCTTCATTTTAAACTAATAAAAATGTAAAATAGCAAAAAAAATTCTTTACATATACATTATATAGAAGATGATTAAGAATATGTAAGTTGTAAGAAAATGAAAGTGAATGTTCATTAATGTTCTTACCTGAATAAGGACGAGAAAGGTTAACTTCAACATATTTTATGTCACATCTATGTACAGAAAAAAGAAGTCATCAGTATGCTTCATTATAAGCTAAACAGTGAATTAAATTATTAAATATATTACATAGAAAAAATAACCTACCCCGCACAAGCAAAGAGATTATTTTGCGTCACTGATATGATATTGTACGTATTGGACCGTTTCCCAAATTATAAAGAAAGTACAATTTATGACTTTTAATTTTAAAATGTGTAATTTTTTTGTGACAATTCATAAATGAAATAGATTCACATCGTATAAGTAAAAGGTATTCTTGCCTTTTATGAGTTTAATCGGAGAGAATATATTAACAAAGAAATTCCTCTTCTATTTTTAAATCCGATTCATACATAGAGCCCAATGTATGGTTTACCGTGGGAGAAATAAGAAAAGGTTTTCTCGTCATAAAGTGTTCAACGGAAAAGTTGATAAATGAACAAGAAAAATGTAACCAAGATTAAAAACATTTAGAAAATTGAGAAAAATATGCGGTAAACTTACAGACAAAAGCGTACATGTATTTTTTTTTTTTGTTCAATCAGAAAGTGTAAATAAAAATGACAGCAAATCTAGCTATCACTTTCCACACATAAAAATGCAAAAACGGTAGATCATTGATATTATCTTTCCTGTACATAACAAAGCAGCGTGTAGATTCCATCTTCGTCTCATCTGTCCCCTTTGTGGCCGCTTTCAGGTATTAAGCTGATTTTTAATATGCGAGTGTAACTTCATGAGTTAATCAGGCACGTAGCATCGTTTTTGAAAGGGGAAGGGGGGGGGGGGGCAACCAGAGACAATTTTTTTCCTTACCTGAAAAAGTTGGCAAGCAAAAAAAAAAAAAAAAAAGGAAATTAAAAAATGCCCAAACTTATGGAATGCCATATACGACAGCCAACTGCCTACTGCCAACTGCTGACTGCTTACTGCCAACAACCACACATATTTGAACAAATGTTATATTTATATGAATTTTCAAAAAAAAAAGAAGGTAAAAAAACAAGGTGCGGATCTAGGACATTTTACCAAGAGGGTCACTCTGGTAAAAAAAAAAAATCAAGCCCAGAAATTTCTTGACAAGAAAATAAAACGAATGTTAGTCCTTTCCTAAATGTGAAAATTTATTTCAGCTGGGGAGAGGGGGGGGGGGTAATTATGCGTAGCACCTTCATGTCTATGACATTTTTTATACCAACTTAACACGAATTCGCGTTTCAGGGGGGTGGGGGTTCTAAGGTCCCTTTTAGTTGATTTAATTTAGGGCCTATACATTAAATAACTTTTAGTTGGTTTAGTTTGTGCATTAAATATCTTTACAAAATTCAGAGGGGTGATCTGGACCCCTTTCTCTAGATCTAAGCATGTAAAACACAGTAAAAACAAATAGATATATTAAATGTTTGATCGGCTTTTTCTTTTTGTTGTTGTTTGTTTTGTTTGTTTGTTTGTTTGTTTTTTGTGAAAATTTACATAAATATCAATATAAAAATAAAATTTATTCAAGTTTGTGTAGCAGTTGGCAGTAAGCAGCTGACAGTTGACAGTAAGCAGCTGACAGTTGACAGTAAGCAGGCAGCAGTCGGCAGTAAGCAGTTGGCTGTCGTATATGGCATTCCATAATATCAGACTCGAAATTCTTTCCTATATTTCTTTGCTATGAATACACGGTGGTAAAAAGTGGGGGGGACCATCTTTTCAATGGCCATTTTCTATAGTAAAGATAATGTTGGGGAAAAAAGTAGGGGGGGGGGGGGGCAGCCCCCCCCCCCTGTTGCTACGTGCCTGTTGATAAAGCTTGCATTTTGTTTTGCCTAAATGACTTTTTGATGGAATTACGTCATTTTTAATGGACACCAGATTACACTTGCCGGTAGGGGACTAGTATTAATTATGCAATACTCTCAGAATACCTGCTAAATGTAAAACTTTCATTTCTTAATGTGGTCGACCAATCCTACCCCTGGGAACCATGATCTAAATAATTTACAATCAAGACTACCCTGGGAACTGGTCATCTGAAATTCATATGTTCTGGTTAAGTTGTTCTGGAAAGGAATATATTTTAAAAAGATATTCCAGTCATATTTCCACCCCAGGAGGGAAATAATCAAGTTGCGTGAGGTAGAGTGTTTTTGACCCTTCCGTCAGTCAGTCAGAGTGTCAGGCCGTCAGTCCTATTTTTTTTTTTTTTTTTTGTCAGCACAACTCCTCATAAACCACTGCACAGAATTTCATCAAACTATGCAGATATTTAGGACACAATGTGTAGATGTGCATATTACCAGGAAATTCCGATTCCTTTATTTTTTCCGGGAATTTCCGCCCGCACTTATTAACTTAGATTTTTGGCCATACCTTGAATATAGAGACGAACAGTTTGTCAGCACTTCTCTTAAACAGCTGCACAGAATTTTATTAAACTTTGCAGATAATTAGGACACAGTGTGTAGATGTGTTTATTACCAGGAAATTCTGATTCCTTCATTTTTTCCGGGAATTTCCACACTTTTCAACTTAGATGTTTGGCCTTTCTTGAATATAGAGATGAACAGTTTGTCAGCGCAAATCCTCTTAAACCGCTGCACAGAATTTCGTCAAACTTTGCAGATAATTAAGAAACAGTGTGTAGATCTGCAAATTACTGGGACATTCCTATTCCTTTATTTTTCCCGGGAATTTCCACACTTTTCAACTTAGATTTTTGGCCTTTCCTTGAATATAGAGATGAACAGTTTGTCAGCGCAACTCCTCTTAAACCGCAGCACAGAATTTCGTCAAACTTTGCAGATATCAAGGACACAGTGTGTAGATGTACATATTAACAGGAAATTTCTTTATTTCCTTTATTTTTCTTGGAATTTCGTCACTTTTCCACTTAGATTTCTTGGGGATATCTTGAATATAGAGATGAACAGTTTGTCAGTGCAACACTTCATAAACCGCAGCACATAATTTCATCAAACTTTGCAGATACTTAGGACACAAAGTGTAGATGTGCATATTACCGGGACATTCCGATTCCTTTATTGTTTCCCAGGATTTTCAAAACTTTGAGTTTTGGGTGAGCGTGGGGTATGTGAGCTTGCTCACCTTTTCTTTCATTTTGTCAGCCCAACTCCTCATAAACCGCTGCACAGAATTTCGTCAAACTTTGCAGATATCTAGGACACAGTGTGTACATGTGCATATTAGCGGGACATTCCAATTCCTTTATTTTTTCCGGGAATTTCCACACTTTTCAACTTAGATTTTTAGCCTTTCCTTGAATATAGAGATGAACAGTTTGTCAGCGCAACTCCTTTTAAACAGCTGCACAAAATTTCGTCAAACTTTGTAGAACTGCATATTACCAGGAAATTCTGATTCCTTTATTTTTTCCGAGAATTTCCACACTTTTCAACTTAGTTTTTGGCCATACCTTGAATATAGAGATGAACAGTTTGTCAGCACAACTCCTCTGAATTTCGTCAAACTTTGGAGATATTTAGGACACAGTGTGTAGATATGCATATTACCAGGAATTCCGAATCCTTTATTTTCTGCGAATTTCGGCACTTTTCAACTTAGATTTTGGCCATACCTTGAATATAGAGATGAACAGTCTCCTCATAAACCACTGCACAGAATTTCATCAAACTTTGCAGATATTTAGGACACAATGTGTAGATGTGCATATTACCGGGAAATTCTGATTTCTTTATATTTCTCGGGATTTTCAGTACTTTAAATTTTGGGGGAGCGCGGCGTATATGAGCTTGCTCACCTTTTCTTTCATTTGAAAAAAAAAAAAATTGAATTCCCATTCAAGAAATAATTTGAAAAGATTTTTTTTAAATACAGAACCCTATGTTTGCCTCTACTTGATTATCTCTCCTTGGAAGGGGACGCGGTCCTTCAATTTAACAATTTAGAATCTCTTTTATGGAGGGAAACTTCGTGCAAACATTGGTTAAATTGACCTAGTGATTTTGAGAACAATTTTCGGGTGGACTAATAATTAGACAGAAGGACAGATGCCAGACAATGGGCGTTCAGGGGCTCATTTGTGCTATCAGCTAAGGTAAGCTAAAAACCAGTATGCATATCTGAAAAATCATTACGCATGTAGTTTTGAAAAACATTTAAGGTAGGATTCTTCTCACATTTCTTGTATTTAAAAATTAATGAAATTTTCACAGAATCAAGAGGAAAATATCACTAAGTGATGGTATCAGTGAGATTAAATTTGACCATTTAATATTAGAGGCAAGGTCAGGTCAAGGTCATTACCTTTTTCCTGGACATTAAGAATTACCGTTTCTACTTGTAATACAAAAGATTGAATATTTTTCTTTTTGCATGAAAAGATACTACCATATAGGGCCTATAAGATGATATTACCAAATTGACATGGATAATTTAAATAAAATGGATATTTGCTAATCCGAATTTCCTCTACTTTTCTTAATTTTTAGGATTTATTAGTTATTTTTATATACTTCCTATTTTCAACTTTTTCCAATTTTCACATATAGTAAAGTTGTCACGTAAAGGTACAAAATGATACAAAAACTAAAAGTTTTTATCGTTTACTAAGAGAAATATAACACTTTTTACAGATTTTTGGCTCAAATCTGTACTTAGATTTGAAGCATTTAAAAGCCAACATAGTTCTAGTATGTGTGAAAAATCTTATTTATTTGATATATTTTGAAACTTTAGTCTCTTATTATTAATTTAACTTACATTTGAAAATTTCATCTACTCTTTGATTGTGTAAAAATTATAACTAAATTCAATGTTCTACATTAATTTTGAGAGGCAGAAAAGAAGATATTTTCATACGCCACCATTCCACCAAAAGTATAGTCCCTGCTAGTTTTCAAACGCAGTTTACCATTTCTATTTAAAGTTGTATAATTGTGATGAGGGAAGAAAAATATGGTCTTTAAAATCTCATACATCTAAATATATAAGGAATATCAACAAATGTTTTTTGAATATTCCATCTAGTCAGAAACCAGAGAAGAATCCTACCTTAAGTGTCGAAAATTGACATGGTCTTTTACTCTCGAGGAAAGTCGATCCATCTATCCCTACAAATTAACCAGAAGTCTCTGTTGAAACTGTAGCTCTACTGGTGTGTACTTATGATAAAGAAAAAGTAGCAGTTGGGACTTAAAAAGCAATAAATAGAATAATGATCCTTGATGAACTCTTTTTTGTGGCAAGATTGCAATAAAACTACAACTGAGGGATAAGCTTGTAATAAAATGTTACAGATTTTTCAATATTAGTTACCATGGCAACATCACTCATCAAAATCAAAAACACAAAACTGATAATTATGTATCTTATTGTAGTCTACTTGTGCTCCAAGTTATATTA